GCATGCATGCCCGCAGGCAGGGGGCAAAATGCAAATGATATGCAAAGAGCCGGAGGTAACCCAATGATCATGCGAATGCAGCAAGCTGTAATGAAGCAGGTATTCGCAAATAGATGCAACAGTTTTAAGCAAGAATGCAAATCAACAACTACATTTCATGCAGTTAAGAATGCGGAGGATTATTCAATCCCCGCCACATCTCACACGGAGAAGATACGATACCTGCGCGATTCGTCTGGTCGCACCAGCCTCAATTGAACCGTGCATACAATATCGTGCCTGCAAAAGAGAGAAATTGCAACAAGTACAATATGCTACCAACATATATTTAACGTGATTCCGAAAGTTCAACACACGCAGTGCCGGCAAGTGAATGCATCGCAATGCAAGAGTGGAACACGCGTGACAACGTATGCTCAAACATAGAGGCATGCCAATATCAAGAAATGTGCATAAAAGATATGCCAATATCAAGAAATGTGCATGTTAATGCAGGTATGCTCATGAGAATGCAAGATAATGTGACACAAGCATGAATCACGGTGCCCGTTTGTCATGAAACAACGAGTACGGAAACGCGTGTTTCGGCGAAGGTAACTCAATTACGGCCTCCGGTCCACTTCCTGGAAAGGCTACAACTCATTCAAAAAGGATACACTTTGATTTCGATGAATGATGATGAGACATATGTCAGAACTTGAAGCTGAAGTCCCGGCGGAGCTATTTCGCGACCGGAAGTGTACTTTTCTTGAACTTTTTCAGGTCCCGGGAACTCCAATCTTCCTCAAAATTTGCAGGGAGCTAGGTGGGCATGTGGGGAACATGGCTGGCCGTTTATCTTCCCAAGGGGAGGTGGCCAACCGGTTTTCCATAAAGCAAATAGCTGGCCGGCCAGTTTTCCAAAAAGCAGATAGCTGACCGGCTAGAAAAGAGGGTCGGCCGGCCATATGCCCAAATTCGGGGGCATTTTGGTATTTTCACCTCTTTTTTGATGCTCCTTCAATCCAAGACTTGGGGCCTATATAAGGCAGCCGAGACCTTCCCCTTTCTTGCCTCTTATACCACTTTCTTCTTCAGATCTGAGTTCCACACGCGTTTTCCAACGCCCCGCGCAAATTGTTTTCGCAAAAACATTCAGTTTTAAACACTTTGAAGCGATTAAATTTCGGTTTCGGAGCTTCTTTTCGCATTTTCGCCACTTAAGGTAAGTTTGTCTCAATATTTGGAAGATTTTCTCGGGAGTTGACTTTTGTTGACTTTTTATTTACCGAGAGTTGACTTTTGTTGACTTTTTCCAATTTTGGCTCATTTTCGCTCATTTTTGCTCCTTTTGCAGATTCTTTGAAAATGGCGGGCAATTCTCCCCACGGCGGAGGTTTTCCAGGTGCCGGAGATGATTTCGATCCCATGACTCTACCCCCGAGGACCCGACCTTTTATTCCCGGGAGGTACCGTCCGCCAGCACATGTCCTCCCTCGTGCGTCTTCGGGTCACTTTTTTTTCTTTTTTTTACTAGCTTTTGACGAGCGAGCACCTGGGGAGCTGCTTCTCCGAGAGCGGCAGCATCACCTCTCTTCAGAGGCCCGGAGAGGTATTTACCTCATTTTCTGATTTCTATACATTTCGCACCTTTGCCATGCCTTGACATGCAGTTTAGCTTATTGACATTGACGTACTTTCTTTGCATCCATAAACATGTAGTTTCAACACTCGAATTTTCTGAACACTCGGCATTATTAATTTAATTGCGACACGGCACGAGTACACATTAGAAGTTTAAGCCAGGCGAACACACGGTCTCAAACCACTGATTTGTCGAAACACACATGCCCGAATTCGAAAGTGAACACACAGCCCACACTTTAAATTTCTGACACGCAGCCGTTTAGATAGTGAAACGCAGCTCCAACTATGTAGAATGTTGAACACGAGCCCAAACTTAAATTTCTCTGAACACTGCCAGCCCAGATTAAATAGATGAAGCACGCAGCCCTACTAGAAAGAACACGCCCTAGTTAAAGAGTTGACACGCAGCCACGAAACTTAAATTTTCTGAACACGGTCATGCCCAGCATTATGTAATCCCACAGATGGGAAGTGAAACGCAGACCCAATTTTCTGCCGAGTAGAAAGTTAATATGAAACGACCCTATGAGGACACCACCACTTCAAATTTTTCTGAACACGCAGGCCCAGATTAAATAGTGAACACCAGCCCACACTGATAGAAAGTTGAACACGCAGCCCAAACTTCAAATTTTATCGTGAACACGCCGAGCCAGACTAAATATGTGACACGCAGCCCACACTACTTGATAGAAAGTTGAAACGCACCACTCCTTGAACACGCCCATTATGACCGCAGCACCATAACGTTTACACAACTCTTTTCTGAACACGCAGCCCAGATTAAATGCGCCTGAGATACGCCTAGAGCAGCCACAACTTCAAATTTTCTTGACACGCAGCCCAGATATTAGAATAGTGAAATGAGCCCGATAACACGCAGCCCACACTGATATGAAAGGTTGAAACACGCAGCCCAAACTTCAAATTTTCTGAACACGCAAGCCCAGATTAAATAGTGAACCACGCAGCCCACACTGATTGAAGTGAACACGCAGCGCACCAAACTTCAAATTTTCATGAAACACGCAGCCCAGTATCTAAAATAGGACATGAATACACATAAAAAGTGACACCAGCCTAAACTTTAAATTTTTCTGAACACGCAGCCCAGATAGATAGTGAAACACGCAGGCCCACATGATAGAAAGTTGAAACACGCACCGCAAACCTTCAATTTTCTTGAACACGCAGCCAGATTTAAAATAGTGAACACGCCGCCCACACTGATAAGAAAGTTGAAACAGCAGCCCAACTTCACAATTTTTCTGAACCGGCAGCCCACAATATTAATATAGTGAACACAGCAGCCCCACACTGATTAGAAAGTTGATACACGCAGCCCAAACTTCAAATTTTGCTGAACACGCAGCTCAGATTAATTAGTGAACAACGCAGCCCACACTTGATAGAAAGTTGAAACACGTAGCCCAAACTTCAAAATTTTCTCTGAACACGCAGCCCCAGATTAAATAGTGAAACACGCAGGCCCACACTGATGAAAGCTTGAACACGACCCAAACTTAAATTTTCCGTCGAACACGCAGCCCAGTTTAAATACGTGAACACGCAGCCACACTAGTTGAAATTTGAACACGCAGCCCAAACTTTAAATTTTCTGAACACGCAGCCCAGATTAAAATTTGCATGTAGCTTATTTCACTTCATCGGCATACAGCCCATTTCATTCCATTGGCACACAACCCAGTTCATCTCATTGGCACACAGCCCATTTCATCTCATTGGCACACAGCCCAGTTCATTTCATTGGCACACAGCCCAGTTCATTTTATTGGCACACAGCCCATTCATTTCATTATTGACACATGTATTCATTCTGAATGCAGGTTGGTTCCCGCAGTGTGCGGGGGTATGGTTCCACCATCGCGCGGGACTGGTACGCTGAGCTCCCGGAGGGTGTCCGAGACTTAGTAGATTTGGCAGGATTCGGGCCCTTCTGCGTCGGGTTGTCACGTTGTCCTGCCAGGAGGACACTGATGGCAGCCTTGGTAGAGAGATGGTGGGACACCACCAACTCCTTTCATTTTTCTGCTACCGAGGACATGACCATGACGCCTCTAGACTTCGCTGTGTTGACTGGCTTAGACATCGGAGGTTGGTCCATCCCCTATGATGAGGATATGGGCGATTGGGAGGCCGCTTGGATGTATCTATTGGGGGCTCGCCCGCCTATTGACAGGGTTTCTGGGAGAGTCCGATACACTTGGTTCTCTTCCCACTTCCGGCGGGCGGAGATGGTGCCCGAGACTCCTGAGGAGACAGAGCAGTACGCCCGTGGTTTCCTTATATTCCTCTTCGGGACTACCCTGTTCGTCGACAGAGGGAACACCGTCGGGCTATACCTGCTGAGTGCTCTGGTTGACCTATCACAGGTCCATCGATATGACTGGGGTGGCGCCGGCCTGGCTACCCTTTACTTTTATATGAGCGCGACCTCCCGCGGGCGGGGCGATTTACTTGGCGGCTACTGGAGAGCCTGGGAGGTACTTTTCTGTCCCTTTGATTTACATTTCTGCTCTTCATTACTTGTACATTGCACTCACAGCGCACTTTTACAGTCTGTATTTTGCTCTCAGCATTTCGTACTTACATTCTGCACTACTTTTCTCAGCTATGGGTCTATGTATACTTCCCAGCATTGGCCTCAGAGTTGGAGGTGGCAGGGGTTCCCATGGCCCCATACTCACTGGTGTTTGAGGGCCCGCACCGGCCGAGACCTCGAGAGACCCTCCTTTACCTGCGACAGTACTTTGACACTGTGCGACATTCAGAGGTACCTCAAAGCTTTCAGTTCCTTTCATTTTCATCTTTGATTTGCTCTGCATATTCTCGATTTCTGATTGGTTTATGCAATTATCATCCGCAGATCACATGGCAGCCCTGGGTGTCCCTGGGTGATGGTCTCCGACTTCAGTAAACACGCAGCCCAGATTAAAATAGTGAACACGCAGCCCACAATAGTTGAAATTTGAACACGCAGCCCAAACATAAATTTTCTGAACAC